TGCTGGACACATGTGGGTGGCACTGCTGGGCACAGGTCGGTGGCACTGCTGATGGGTACAGGTGGGCAGCACTGATGAACATAAGTGGGTGGCACAGGTGGGCAGCACTGCTGGGCACAGATCATCAGTGCCCTGATGATCAGTGCTGATCCCTTCACTGACAATTGCCAGCAGCACTGATGGGCACTGATGAGGTGGCATGGATAGGCAGCACTGATGGGCACTGATAGGCGACATTGATAGGCAGCACTGATGAGCTGGCACTGATGATGCTGCACTGATAGGTGGCACTGCAGGTCACTGATAAGCGGCACTGACTGACGGCACTGCTAGGCAACACAGGTGGGTGACACTGCTGGGCACATGTGGGTGGCACTGCTGGGCACAGGTCGGTGGCACTGCTGATGGGTACAGGTGGGCAGCACTGATGAACATAAGTGGGTGGCACAGGTGGGCAGCACTGCTGGGCACAGATCATCAGTGCCCTGATGATCAGTGCTGATCCCTTCACTGACAATTGCCAGTTCTCAACAGTACTTTCCTCACGCTGTGACAGCGTGAGGAAAGTGCAGCTGATAACTTGCAACTGTATTTACCTGGTGATCTGCTTTGTCATTGGACACAGCTGATCACATGGTAAAAGGCTGCTGTAATTGGCCTCTTACGCGTGATCAACTGTGTCCATAGGAAAACAGCGATCACCGGCGGCGCTGGGTGCGTGCCACTGGGGGCACGCAGGGGGCGTGTTCTGGGAGGACGTCCATGGACGCCCTCCTAGAACTAGACAAATGCGCTGTAGCTGTCTTTCGGCTATAGTACGGTTGGGAAGTGATTAAAGGAAAACGCCTTCTAAAGCCATTGACCAGGAATTATTTCAAATGTTTTCACAAACTGGGTTCCCCAAAGAGATACTAACAGACCAGGGTATCCTTTTTATGTCAAAGGTGATGGCGGGCTTGTGCAAACTGTTTCAAATTAAGAAGTTGCGGATGTCCAATCTCTCATCTGCAGACAATGGCCTCATTGAGAGGTTTAATAAAACCCTGAAATCAATGTTTCAGAAGGACAGGAAAGATTGGGATATGTTGCTCCCTGTCCTGATGTTTGCCATCTGGGAGGTTCTACAAGCATCCACAGACTTTTCACCATTTGAGCTAATATACGGGCAAAGGCCCTGGGGGTTGCTTGATCTAGTAAAGGAGACATGGGAAAGTGAAGCCTCACCACACAAAACAGTAGTAGAACATATCTCCCAAATGCAAGAGAGAGTGGCTAGAGTGATGCCGTTAGTGACGGAACATCTCCAGAAGTCTCAGAATGCCCAAAGGAGGGTGTACAACCAGTCAGCTAAAGTCAGACAGTTTCAAGCAAGAGACCGGGTAGCTGTTCTGATACCCACGGTGGAGATAAAGTTCTTGGCCAAGTGGCAGGGGCCATTTGAGGTAGTGGAAAAAGTGGGTGAGGTGAAATACAAAGTACACCAGCCAGGGAAAAGAAAGCCATACCAAATTTATCATGTGAACTTGTTAAAACCCTTGAGAAAAGGTCTCTGCTGTGGTAAGTGTCAATTCAGGGGAACCAGCAGGAGTTGACCTGGTGCAGGTGACTGATACCCTGTCTAGGCCACAAACCTAAGAAGCAAAAGAGTTTTTGCAGAAAAATAGAGAAATGTTTTCAGGATTACCTGGTCTCACCATCATCAAGCATGACATAGCCCAATGTAAAGATATGTTTATAGCCCTTTTGTATCTCAGAAGCCCATAGAAAGGCAGTGTCCGAAGAAAAGAATGCTTCAACTTGATGTAATTGAAGAGCCACAGATTGAATGTCGAGTCCCAGCATGTTGGTACCAAAACCCAACAGCACCCTGCGCTTCTGCAATGACTTTAGGAAACTTAGTGAAGTTTCCAAATTTGATGCCTATCCGATGCCTCAGGTAGACAAGTTAATTGAGAAGTTGGGTCTTGTCCAGTATATCACCACATTGGACCTCACAAAAGTCTACTGACAGATTCCCCTCACCAAGGAAGCCAGGGTGAAAACAGATTTTTCCACCCCAGAAGGCCACTTCCGGTATGAAAGAATGCCATTTGGCTTACACTCTGCCCGGCCACATTCCAAAGGGCAATGGAAAAAAACATTACACCCGCATCGGCAAAACGATTCAGTCTACCTGGCTGATATTGTCATTTTCAGTACTGATTGGGAGACCCATCTTTCCCGGGTTCAGGCTGTCATAGACTCGTTAAAAAAAACCAGGGTTCACAATTAATCCTTAGAAGTGTGCGGTTGGGATGGCGGAGGCCAAGTAACTAGGGTACATTGTGGGTAATGGGGCTAGTGAAACCTCAAATGAATAAGGTGAAAGCCATACAGAACTGGCCCCACCCCTTAACCAAAAAAACAGGTCAGAGCATTTTTAGGTATTGTTGGCTATTACAAGAGGTTCATCCCCAACTTTGTCACCATTGCTGCACCATTAACCAACTTAACAAAAGGCAGGAATTCAGTAATGGTAAAGCAGAATGAGTATGCAGAAGCAGCTTTTCAGAAGCTTATGACTGCATTGTGCCAGCATCTGGTGCTCGTAGCCCCTGACTTTTCTAAAGAGTTTTTGGTGCAGACAGATGCCTCAAGTGAGAGCTTAGGAACGGTCTTGTCTCAAGTGGTCGATAGGGAGGGGCACCCAGTAGTTTTTCTCAGTAGGAAACTGACAGCAGCAGAGAAAAAAATCTAAGCTGTGGTGGAGCGAGAATGTCTCACCATCAAATAGGCTCTGGACTCATTGTGGTACTTTTTGCTAGGTAAGAGCTTTCGCCTGGTGTCAGACCATGCCCCACTGAACTGGATGAGACAAAACAAGAATGCCAATGTCAGTGATGAGATGGTTCCTTTCTCTCTAGGAGTTTCAACTTTGGAGTAGAGCACAGAGACAGCATGAAAATACCGATACCCTCTCCAGAGTACATTGTCGGATGTCAGATGGTGCTCCAACAACTCCACCTTGAGGCGGGAGGGGAATGGGTTCTGGATGGGTGCTATGTGGTGCCTAATATTTGGGTTATGGTCCCTTTAAGGTGAAAAAAAGGTGTGTGTACTCAGGGGTCTCGCCCATCATGGGTGAGGTATTCTGAGCGTAGTCATGTAAAGGAGAGGACTGACTAGCAGTTCTCTCTGTATTAGCAGAGACATATTCGGAAACCAAGAATTTTGGAAGTTCAGAATGACATTTGGGTTGGAAAAGAACCTCCACTTCTGACCACGGGGACTCCAGTTCCTGGGGAGTTAAGCAGCCTCCAGGATACAGCACATAAAATGGGAAGCTCTGAATATCAGGGGTGGGGGTAGGAGATTTGAGAGGGACCTGTTGGAGTGCTGCACATGTGCTGGGAGCTGCCAAACAACCATAGTTGGACTGAGCTAACCTTGGGGTAAATCCCATCTATGAACTTTATGTCTCTTTGTGTTTTCTTTATGCTGCTTTCTGTTTTATTTTCTGGAGCTAGTGAATTTCATGTTGCATTTAAAGATCAATAAACACTTTTATGCTTAAGATAAATGGCTTTGCACATGGTCATGAATATACTCCTGAATATTACAGTACATACTCCTGCCATGCCTATAGTCACATGAACTATGAAATAATGATTATGCAAAAAATTATTGGATAAACCCACAAGTACCACTTAAACATATCAAAATAGCAGATAGTGTCATTTAAAAGTTAGATGAATAAAAGGCTTATGCTACCTTTTGGAAGTTAAATAACATTTGTTAGTTGTGGTCTAAACATCAGACCAAAGTGAGGGACAGCAAGGACAAGGAAGGAAATATGGAAGGATTTGGGTTTAGAAGTGGGAAGTTGAGAGCTATGTACAAGGTGTGAAAATTGAATTCCCGAAATGTCAGAGGTATAGCACTCTGATGGTGAACCACACAGCCATTCACACTTGAGCGTGTTCTAACATTTTCTAACCTGGACTTAGCTGGTCGCAGACCAGTTTACTAAATCTTTATGGAGTGGAAGAAGAAAGAACACGTATGTGCATTATGCTGTTGGCAGAAAATTACTAATAGGAATCTGGAGCAGCGGATTAACGTCAAACTTTGTGTGAAAATTGGAAAAAGTGCAAATGACACTTTAGCTCTGTTGCTATGAGCATGCCATGAAAAAATTAAGTGTGAATGGCATAGACGGTTTAAAGAGGGGTAGGAAGATGTTGTCGATGACCCAAGAAATGGGCAGCCAAAGATGCAAGGACAGATGCAAATGTGGACAGAATGTGGACAGAGTGTGAACCCTCGTATGGTCAGACTGAAGATTGAGTATACAAAAAATGTCAGAAGAATTGAACATGAACAGGGAAATAGTGCAGCAGAATCTAACAGAGGATTTGGGAATGAGAAAGACTTCTATAAAGATGGCACCTCAATTCTTGTCAGAAGATCAGAAAGAACATCATCAAATTTCATCCTATCTTTTGAAGAATTTTTTTTGTCCATTCTGGCAATTACAATGTCACACCTTGCATGATTTAGTATTACTGTTCACATTTGTAAAAAGGCAGTTCCCAAATTTAACTACCTTCAACATATAGGCAACATTACCAGTTGACTTAAAAATTGTGTCATTTGATATTGTAATCTGTATCCTGGAGTTACCAACAAAGAGTTTTATTTTATTTTATTTGGACCTTGTTGCCTTCTGTAACTATTGTTCAAGCTGAGCAATCCTGTATTATTAGTTCAGTGACTTTAATTAAACAAGTCAGAAAGTGCAGGATCCCAAGAAACAAGTTAGATTTTAGCCAGATTTCTCAGCTGAATTCTATGGGTGTATGAACTGCAGTGTCTGTAAAATGCACGCTTCAGTTTAATTTCACAGTTATGCCTTTAAAACATACTTAAAGTATGGAAAGCTTTTTATTACAAGTTTTGTAAAGATGTGTTAAATTATTAATAAGTAATATTCAAAGTTTTTGCATTATATTTATATTTAGGTATTTGGTAAAATCGCATTGGTTGATGGAACGCAAATAAATCGGAACAGCAATTTCCAGACGTTCCCTCAGGCTGTATTGCTACTTTTTAGGTAATGATCTTGTTTGTTTTTAACAATGTTACAAATTAGAACAAGATGGTTCATCTTGGGGTATGAAATACTGTATGTGTTGTCATACAGAGTAGGTTAGATCCATTGACAAGTATAGTTTTGTTATATTTACTAAGGGTCCATTCTAACTTCTCCAGTGTGGTGTGTTGTTGGGATACTTGCATTAACCACTTGCCCTCCAGAGGATTTACCCCCCCCCCCCCCCCTTCCTGACCAGGCCATATTATTTGCGATACGGCGCTGTGTTACTTTAACTGACAGTTGCGCAGTCATGCAACGCTGTACATAAGTGACATCTTTGTCATTTTTTTTCTCCACAATTAGAGCTTCCTTTCAGTGGTATTTGATCACCTCTGCATTTTTTTTGCACTATAAACAAAAAAAATATATAATTTTGAAAAAAAATATTTTCTACTTTTTGCTATAAAATATATTCAATGAAGAAAATTTTTTTTAAAAATCTAATTTTGTCATAAAGTTAGGCCAAAATGTATTCTGCTACATGTTTTTGCTAAAAAAAATCCCAATACATGTAAATTAATTGGTTTACATGAATGTTACAGCATCTAAAAATAGTGGTATATACTGTATACTGGAATTTTTTTTTTCTATACTAGTAATGGCTGGGATCAGTGACTTCTAGCAGGACTGCGAAACTGCAGTGGGCATTAAAACACTGGGTGGGAACTGACTAACTGCCACTGACATCCCCAGTAACACTAATACAGTGATTAGTGCTAATATAAAGCACTGACACTGTACTAATGAAACTGGGCAGGAAGGGGTTAACATCTGGGGTGATCAATGGGTTAACTGTGTGCTGTGTCTGTTTTACCTTGGAGACATGCTGTTTTGTATTTCTCTGCTGTGCAAAAGATATAAAACAGCATATCCATGTTTACACACAGGTCTCTCCCCTGTCAGCTTTCCCCGACAATCGCCAGATGCCAGCGGGGAATCGCCAGCTGGGACCCGGTAACTGACATCCCTGCGCTCCCCCTACCTGGAAATGCAAATCATGTATTTCCAGGTACATGATTTTGCGCAGCCCTGCTGCCCTGTAGCAGTATTTCTGCTATAGGGTGGTGGGGCAAGCAGTTAATCTGTGCATTACTGCAACAAGTATAAGGTGCACAATTTAAGTGTAGCAGGCAGTACATGTATTAAGAAACAGTTAAAAATGTGCTTATAATCAAATCTTCAAACTTATCTGGGGTTCTTGGTGCAGTGTGGTATCTGGGTACAGCTTAGGCAGGCACACAGTTTTTTGAGACCTGAAAAAATCTGAGACACCAGAGGGCATCAACTAAGTGCAGCAATGGCTGGCAGAACACAATAGCTCAGCAGAAGTGATTTCCCTATCCACTTCAAATGTGGATGGGGAATTGTATCATTTTTTTTTTTTTTTTTTTTCATTAAACTTGCTGCTTGAACGAAAAAAACGAAATCATCTATGGGCTGCGTAACACTTGTGAATCTCCAGCCATAGGCATACCAGCCTTAATTTATAAAAAAAAATCCCAAATGAAAAAGGAACCTTAATGGTGTCTATCCTGTACTTTTACCAATGCATCAGATGCTGCTTTTTATTATTAACGATTTTAACTCTAGTATTTATGAAAAATGAATGGTAAATTAGCATGCAGTATGAATATTTTTTTAACTATTTGCAAGATAGTCATATATTGAAGAATCGTGAGATAAATATGTAAATCCCATGGAATACCTAACTTGCAAACAATAGTGTATCATGCAAATATATGATAAACCAAGTCGCTTATATATTTCATATTATTTTTCTAGATGTGCCACTGGAGAGGCTTGGCAAGAGATATTGTTGGCTTGTTCCTATGGAAAACTGTGTGACCCAGCGTCAGATTATCAGCCAGGCGAGGAATACACATGTGGAACAAGTTTTGCATACTTCTACTTTATTAGTTTCTATATGTTGTGTGCTTTCCTGGTAAGATTTAGTATTTGCATGTTCAAATATGTTTCAAATATATTTCAAATATATATTAAATATATATATATAATACTTAAGTAATTCTATCATTCATTTTTACAGATTATCAATCTCTTTGTTGCTGTTATCATGGATAACTTTGACTACCTAACCAGAGATTGGTCAATTCTAGGTCCACATCATCTGGATGAATTTAAAAGGATTTGGGCAGAGTACGACCCTGAAGCAAAGTATGTATAGTGCAAAAGCTACACTCATCAGCCACTTTATTATTAGGTACACCTTGCTAGTGCCAAGAAAATATCCCTCACACCATTACCCCACCACCAGCCTGAACCATTGATACAAGGCAGGATGGATCCATGCTATCATGTTGGTTACACCAAATTCTGACCACACTATCTGAATGTCGCACAAACCAGTCTACCCATTCTCCTCTGACCTCTGACATCAACAAGCATTTTTGTCCACACAACTGACACTCACTGGATATTTTTTTCTTTTTCAGACCATTCTCTGTAAACCCCAGAGATTGTTATGCGTGAAATTCCAGTACATCAGCAGTTTTTGAAATACTCAGACCAGCCCACCTGGCACCATCAACCATGCCACATTCAAAGTCACTTAAATCCCTTTTCTTCCCCATTCTGATCGCCCCCCTCCCTGCGGCTTACTAGGCCATGAGTCCATGTGCCCTCGGCATGGGGTGGTGTCCCCATGCCGATGGGGACAAGGGCCTCTTCCCCACAACACTGGCCCGGTGGATGTGGGGATCTGCGGGCAGGGGAGCTCATTAGCATCAGGGTACCCCTTTAAATAAGGGGACACCCTGATACTGTCCCCCCCCCCTTGTGAATGAGTAACCCCTACCCATTTACTAAAGGGAAAAATGTAGTAGAAAAAAAAAAAGAGACCAGTCTTTTGAAAAAATCCTGTATTGAGCAAAAGACAAAACAATTAACAAGTCCTTTATCAAAAAAAAGTCATAAAAATGGTTCCATCATTGCAATCCATAGTCAATCACGGCGTCCAGCATTGTCATGATGTGCCGACTCGCTGAAATACCCGCCGCGAGCTGACAGGTCTGACAGTTGCTGGTCAGATGTTAACAATTGTTAACGTCACCACTAGCCCCACCCAATTGTACTGTGATTGGCCACAGCAGGTGCATTGCTTTGGCCAATCACAATGCACTGTGAGAGCGCAGTGCATCGTGTGGCACGGCAGGAAAATAGCTCATCAAACACCCTTACTGTTCATGTGTTCAGCGAACAACTTACGCTCGACTCAAATATCAAGGCCATCACTATTACCAAGCAATTGAACAGGCGTACCTAATAAAGTGGCCAGTGAGTGTATACTATTTGTGGCAATCTGCATTAATTTTTTTATCCATAATTTTATTTTTTGAGAATCTCTTTTTAGCATATACATATTATTGAAAAACACCTCCTATAGAAACGAACCACATAAAAAAAATGAAATACAAAAAAACTAAGCTAAATTTAACATTACATATTTAAACCATATGCTTTCAGGAAAGCTATCTTACGCCATCTGCTTAACACCACCAAATCCCTTGATATGGAAAGACCCCCAACTCCCTTCTATCTTGTTGTGGGTAGAAGACCCAAATAAATTGGAGGACCTGGTACTCTCTGCCCAGAATAGACGTGAGCTTTATTCTAAAACATGGCTCCCCTGGAACTCAGATGACGGCAAAGCATTTTTTTAAAACTGTCTTGGGGAAGGAATTTTTTTCGATCTAAATCCAGGCCCACAGTGCCAGCATTGCAACTGCCCACCTTTTTTTCCCTCTCTCTTTTTTTATCGCCTTCCTCCTCTGTTTCCTTACTGCCCCCCCCCCCCACTTAACTGAACAAAACAGTATCCTACCCGTGTCATGGCCATGGCACAGCATTAAAATAGTCTAGATCTACAAAGCGATCAACAATCTAGTATGTGTTACATGCCTATTTCAAAAACACATAAAAACATAGCTCCCATTGATTTCCTATGGGAAACACACCAAAAACATAAACACATCCATGGTGCATTTTGTGTGCACTTTTTGCATGCTGGAGGTAAAGAATCCAGAAAATAGACCAAAAATGCATTTTTGCAAAATAGATCATGTTTTTAAGCATACCAGTGTGAGAGGGCACTTACTTTCTGACAGGCTGATATCAAAACAGAGGTAATTGCCCCTAATATCTCTAGCCCTAGGATTCTGCGGAACATCCTCAAGAGTTCCAGCGCAATCTACCTGTCCATCACAGGCAGATAGTATCCCCATATAGCTGACAATCCATCTGCTCCTCCAGCCACAGAACCACGAAATAAATACATCATTGTCCTGTTCCGATCCCAGCCAGCCCTCCCCTCCTCTCTCTATCCATCCCAGGTACTTGTATATTAAATCACATTGGATAGATAAAAGAAGAGGGCAGATGGGAATCAGCACACCAGATAAGACACAGCAGCTTCCCTGTGCATCTCTGCATGAGGAAACCCCTACATTTTACAGACCACCATACTTTGTGCTTTCCTGCAAACCCCCCCACCAGAATTGTGATCTCCTAACATCTCTGTATTGTGCTCTCCTGGCACCTACTGTGCTCTCCAGGCCCCCCCTGTACTGTGCTCTCCTGTCCCCCTTGTATTGTCCCCCTTGTATTATTCCCCCCCCCCATACTGTGTTTTCCAGCCCCAGCCACCACCCCCCTTGCTGTGCTTTCCTGATGCCCTAGACTTGTTTTGCCCTGTCCTCCATATTGTACTCTCCTGACCCTCCCTGTATTGTGCTCTCCAAGACCCCCTGTATTATGCTCTCTTGTGCCCCCTATACTGTTCTCTTCTGATCCCCCGGACAGTGCCCTACTGGTGCTCCACACTGTATTCTCCTCTCCTGACCCCAGTATTGTGCACTGCTGCCCATCTGTACTGTACCCTACTGATCTCTGTATAGTTCCATCCCGTGCCCTGCTTCCCCCCTGTACTGTGCCTTCCTGAACCCTCTGTGCTCTACCCTGCTTCTCCTCTCTATATACTGCCTACTGCCCTGCTGATGCCTGTGCTTTGCCTTGCTGAACCCCCCGTAAACTGTTTACCGTAAGTTTGACCCAGAATTGAGCGTCTGTGCAGAAAAAGCAAGCACAAGTTTCACATTAAGATGATATGTTTTAATATGTGTTCTATTTCTAGGAATAATTGTTATATCACATTGTTATATAACAGCTCTCTGATGTGTTATGTTCCTTGAGCCGAAGACATGAAAACAATTTCAGGGGTTTCCTGAGAACTCAGATTTTTTGCCAATGGTTCCACCAAAGTAAAAAGATTAAGGAACCCCATTCTAGCCATTCATCTTGTTCCGTATTACCTATGTCCTGAGGCTATTGCTTTCTGCATTTCAGGGGATATTTAGGTTACTTTCACACTGAGGAGTATTTGAAGCGTTTTTGCATTAAAAAAAGCGCCTGAAAAGCTCAAGAAAAATGCTTTCTTATGTATGTGAATGTATATCTATGTATGTTTTCACACTGAGGGGTTGCGCTTGCGGTGCGGTGTGAAAACTCCTGCTTGCAGCATCTTTGGGGCATGTTTGGGATGTTAAAAAAAAAAAAAAAAAATCCTCAAAAAGCCTTCTTCCCATTGAAATCAATGAAAAACGCCTGAAAAGCACCTAAAAAATGCCTCAAAAACATCTATGAGAAGTGTTTTTGGTGCAGTTTTTAAGTCCCATGTCCTTTAAGAAAAGCTCAGCGCAGTAAAAAGCCTATGCGTTTTTGCGGCGGATCAGTGTGAAAGTAGCCTTAGTCCTCAGAAGCACTGGGTGCGACTTGGCATGCGATTTGCATGCCCTGCGACTTGCAAATTGCATTAAGTCACACCCTATTGTCCACAATTACAGCGGTCATATCGGTGCGGTTCCGACTTGGCCAGGGCAGCACCAATTTCTAAAGTAGTGCATGCACTACTTTTGGTGAGATTTGCATAGATATATGTGTCAGATGTCTTGCAAATCGCACCTCAAATCATAGTGACATCCCAACTTTGAAATCTTGCGACTTCACTGTAAGGATCAATGTGACCGGGGTGTTAATCAAATATTTATGGATTAATATGTTGTATATAGAAAAAAATAACACCCCTTATCTTAACAGACATCACATCTATTATTGGCATTATAGGTGTTATCTTCTCCTGTTAGCCCACTGCGATTGTAGATAATAATAAAAGCTTTACCTAGTTATACAGTACTGCCTGCACCTATTTAAATAATTTTAGAGAATCATTGCAGTTCAATTGATCAAATTTCAAAACACCCAGTTTTTTTCTAGAGGGCAAATCCCTCCACGTTTACCACTTTATCACTAGAAATAGCTTAACCAACCTCCAAATTGTATTTAGCAATTGGAAAATAGGGAACCACACCAGGGGCGGACTGACCATTTGGAAACTCGGGCACTGCCCGAGGGCCCGGGGTCAGTAGGGGGCCCCATGAGATGCCCCTGGTACCTTTTTCATAGGCTTTTTTGACTTTGGGCAAGGACACAGGGGCCCCATGATCCCCTATTGCCCGGGGGCCCCATAAGTTGTCAGTCCGCCCCTGAACCATACTATTTTCTACTTCCTTTTAACAAATCTACCCCTCCCACACACGCACTTATCAACTGGTATAGAGGCTGGACCCCCTTTCCTCAGCCCGCAAAATGTTGCATCTGTGGAGCTATTTAATATATTCATGGACTGGGGGAAGCTAAACCACCTTCAGTTAGATGCTGTAATGTTTCTCTACGTAATCTGTTTTTTTCCCCCTTCATATAAAAACATGGCATACAATGTTTCTGCAAACATACTTCTAACCACTTTTGGGCCACCCGCCCACAATGTACTGTGGACGTGCGGCAGCTACAGGACCAGCGACGTACCCGTATGTCTCTGGTCTTTTGTCAACACATGGGGGCTCTGCGCGAGCGAGCGTGCATCCCTACCCCCCCATGTCTGCTCTGTCCACCGAACACAACAGAATGAGAATCCTTGTAATAAGGCCCAGGAGATCACATGATCGCTATGCGATAACATGATCACAATGACAACAAAGCTTTTATGAATCAATCTGATTCATAAAAGCTTTGCTTCTGTTCCTGGAGAGCTGTGATTGGTCCACAGCTCTCATATGACACATGGGGCCAATCACAACAACTTGTACCATGTGACAAACTGGAGCCAATCAC